TCATTTAATCTAAGACTTTATAATGTTTAGAACTTTATACTAACTTAACTTTTCTAGTCTTAAACATTGGTTTCAATGTTGTCTGTCTCTATTCCCTTGGAAACTATAGACACTGGTTTGAATATTGATTATCTATATTGCACTGGCTTAAATATTGACTATCCGTCATTATTGAGTTTCCCTTTTCAATGATGTTCATTAGCAGGAGTACATCATGATTAGATAGTAAATGTTATATTTACTAGCTAAACAAGAGGTAGGACTGAGTGTTGAAAAGAAGAGAGTTGTTGGAGAAAATGTAGAACTTAAGGATAAATTGGGAAGCATAGAGGTGGAGATAAGAGTTGAGAAAAGTGAGAAAATTGGGGATATTCCAATTGTACCGGCTGCCATGGCCGAGGAGGTTAACATGGAGGCTATAGATATTACCAACGACAGTGAGCCGCACAGCCCGACTATGGAGAGCTTTTTCCAGAATGGGCGTCACAACATGGGACCCAGACTTTATGGGATGTGAGATAAGCTGATGCTTTATTTCTCGCTAGTGAGACACTGATTTGATGAATTAGCTAGGGTCCTATCCTATTTTATTTTTGCTGATTGGGGGTGAATTTTGGTGGCTAGCATTAGGCCCTTGAATTTGAACTTTTAAGAGGCTGCTGCCTACTTATTGTGATGATTTATATTTAGGTTAGATTAGTCTAACTTAGATAATAGTCTCTTTGATTAGTCGGGAAACATTGTATAATGTTATTTTTGCGTGGTTTTAATATATGCTTACATTTCATCCAAAAAAAAGTAAATGTTATATTCTAATAATAGGTAACAGCTATGTTAACAAGCTATCAGTAGTTGGATATATAGTTGTCAGTAGTTAGGATATAGCTTGTTAACTGTACAGTTCACTTTTACTAGTTGTTTTTTGATTAAAAAAATTATAAATGTCTGTTCAGGAGGAATCAAGAAGCTCAGCTGCCATAAGGATGGCTAAGAAAATTGGGATGTCAAACAATGCAGTGGAGGGAGAGATCTAAGTGGCAACAAGCAAACGAACAAGGATCAGTCATTTGATCAGACGTTCGAGAGCTCTAATCACGCTTTGCTAGTTAGCTGTCAGAAAGGATATCCAGTCCATGTTGTGAGGTGCTTCCCCTTCATTATCTTTGTGATTATAAGCATTGTGGTATTTCAAATCTATTTTATTGTCTGGAGATACTAGCTACTATTTTAACTTAACTGGTATTTTTTTTTGCAAATAACGTTTTCTATTCCATCTTGCTTTATGTGTCTTAGCACCAGTGGAGTAGAGTCTTACACAAACAACAAGCATTCACGTATTTGTTTTCTCCAACCAAACTTGTTTCTTTATTATTTTGATGTACATATTTGAGAAAGAGTTGTTTAAGTGAACTACTTGAAAATTTTCTTTCTTTATTATTAATGAAAACCATTAATTCTTTGGCTTTAATGATTAATTATGGTAAGAAGTAACATAGGTCTTTTATTCCCTTAAACACTTATGTAAAAGATATCCATAACCTGTATATTTATTTTTAGGGTTATCTGTATAGTGTTTATATTTGGTATGAGATGATTTAATACTCTGCGGTTCATTGAAGCTTACATTGTCATCTGGATAGAGATACACGTCCAGAGTTCATGAATTGCTAAATGATTTTCACCCAGTCAGATTCTTCTCATTGTTTGTAATGAGAGAACACTGAGTTTTGCCACTGACTACTATGGAATCTAGACATGACCTTAGCTGACAAATCTGGCAGTATTTCATGTTACTATTCAATAAGCCTCCTATATTGATACCGATGATGTTTTTGCTAATTTTCTATTATATATAATCTAGCTATAATATGTCTGATGCTTTAACCTTAGATGATTGTTGGGCTGAAATCCTTCGCTTGCATTGACTGAATTTCCAGGGTAACCTTCTGCCTAAGAATTCAACATTTCCCTCCAGGATTAAATCCCTGACAGATTATTTCCACCGCAGGGGCCTGATGCTAGGAATCTATTCAAGTGTTGGGTAAATGTATAAAATCATTTTTACAATAATCGTTTAATTGTAAAGGCGTCTTTATCAATCAACTCTCATTTTCTTTTTAAGTTTTTATTTTCAATTTGCAGATATGATACTTGCAGCAAAACAATGCCTCGCTCTCTTGGCCATGAAGAGCAAGATGCTAAAACTTTTGCAAATTGGGTAAGTATTTGCTTGTTCCTCTGAGGTGTTCTATTTGTACTATGGAATTTGTCGATGATGCAGGGGTTGCCTAAAAAGCTCCAAGGGAGGTGGCAAGGAAGGAATTCATCTGGGAGCTGCCCTTGGAGGAGGTTCTGCCTCAAGTCCATGTTTTGTCCCTTTTGATGCCTCTTTTGCTTGTGAAGTCCAGATTACGGTCCCATTTGATGCTTTTACTACAGCTGCCACACCAGTCCCTCTTTCCGATGCCTATGATGATCAACTGAGGCCACACACCACCACTATGTGCCAACTGTCTCTCCTAACCATATTGATGCTATACATTGCTTGGATACATTTTAACAAGATGGCCCCCCCGGTGGCCACCTGTAACAAGGCGGGAACCGAGGGAGGTGCTCATCTAGCCCTTACTTGTAACAAGAACATCAACATGTTCTTAAATATGTAGAAGTGTTAGTTTTTAGTTGTGCCGATTTAAAATATTTGTGTTGTAATATTAGAATATGTGAATTTTACGATTTGAGTTATTAAATGAATACAGTTGTTTGATATTTTGTTTATTTATAAATATCGATATGATTTTACTATATATATGAGATATTATATTATTATAATATGATTTTATTATTATGGATATACACACACATGATACCAATGAGTCATAAATATGTATGATACCAACGTGTCAAAACATTTTTTGATATTAATGTATCATTAGTTCAGATGATGTCTAGGAGTCATTAGGAATACCAACACAAATGTATCATAGTTCTCAATGATGTTTTTATGTCATAATTTTGTGACACAAAAGTGATTTGTTAACGGTGACACTAAATTTTGTGTCACTTGCCCCGCTTGTCTATGACACTTTCAGTGTGTCACTAAATCGTTTAGTGACACTAATTTAATGTCACTATAAGCCATTTTTTTACTAGTGAGTGGTTGTTTAAGGTTAAGGAAGAACCTAATGATGTTAGGTTTAAGGCTAGGTTGGTTGCGAAAGGGTTTACTCAAAAAGAGGGGGTAGATTGTGCAGAAATCTTTGCTCCTGTTGTTGAATTCACCACTATTCGTACGATGCTTGCTTTAGTTGCTCACCATGACTGGGAAATGAAACAAATTGATGTAACTACTGCTTTTTTGCATGGTGAATTAGATAAAACAATTTATATGACCCAGCCTGAGGGCTTTGTGGATCCCAAGAGAAGTGAGCATGTCTGTTTGCTTAGGAAGGCTTTGTATGGCCTGAAGCAATCCCCTAGGCAGTGGAACATCAAATTTGATAAATGCATGATATCTTTGAAGATCCAAAAATCTGTTTGTGATCATTGCCTGTATTTCAAAAATACTTCTTCTGTGCCTGTATTTTTGTTACTCTATGTGGATGACATGCTGATAATTAGTCCTTCTCTGAATGCTATTAAAGATGTGCAAAAATGTCTTTGTGCGAATTTTGCCATGAAAGACCTAGGTGATGCCAAGAGGATCTTAGGCATAAACATTGTTAGGGATAAGAGTAAATTAGATTTCTTACACAGAAAAAGTTTTGAGTAAATTCAATATGTTATCTGCTTCTCCTGTTAATGTCCCTGTGGCATCTCACTTTGTGTTAAGTAAGGACCAATCTCCCAAGTCTGCTCCTGAAATTGAGAAAATGAAATTTGTGCCCTATTCCAGCGCAATAGGGTCGGTGATGTATCTTATGGTTAGCACTAGACCTGATGTTGCATATGCGGTTAGTTGCTTGAGTAGATATATGTCCAACTCTGGTTTGTCCCATTGGAATGCTCTTAAGTGGTTGCTTAGATATCTGATTTCTATTGTGAAGCATGAATTAATTTTCTTTAAATGTGCTAGTGGTATTGAATTGATTGGTTATGTTGATTCTAACTATGCAAATGATAGAGATAACAGGAAGTCGACCACTTCTTATGTTTTTACTTTGTGTGGCTCTTGCATTAGTTGGAAGTCTCAACTACAGCCTATTGTGGCCCTTTCTACCACTGAGTCCGAGTATGTTGCAGCCACAGAAGCGTTTAAGGAAGCCATCTGGCTCAAACGTCTTGTCTCCGAAATTGGGTTTCTCAAAAAGGGAGTTACCATTTTCTCGAATAGCCAATCGGCTATCTAACTTTGCAAAAATCCTGTATTTCATGATAGAACTAAGCATATTGATGTTAGGTTCCATTTCATACGTGATATTGTTGATGCAGGTGGAGTCAAACTGTGCAAGATCCCGTCTGAGTTTAACCCCGCGGATATGGGTACCAAGTGTCTTCCTGCTGAGAAGCACTTGTCCTGTAAACGCGTGTTAAACTTTGATTGTGGATAACTGTGGGTTGCGTAATAAAGTGTTTGCCCGTTTTGTCTTTTGATATTCCGGGTGACCCGGCGATGACGAGTCTTGTCACAACTTTGTATTGTTACTCTACACCACATAGGACCAATAAGTTGGAGAATGTTGGAGGTATTGGTCCTACCAAGGCCTCCCTTCCACTTTATTTGTTGAGACTTGCACACTCTATTTTACTCTCTCTTGGATACCTTTTCTTTGGTATATATCCTGATCAAATATATACCTATTTGAGTTGACTTTCCTATTGGCTGGCCCCTTTGTTTGCTGTCCGCTGCCACCACTTTGTCTTGGCCTATACATGTGACTCTCATTTGTCTAAGTAGCATGTGAGTGTCTTTTGTCAAGCATCACCCGTCAAGCATCACCCGTGACACCCTTGGCAGCCTATTTGAAGTCCTTGTTTCTTCCCTTGTTGAAGCAGCCTGCGAGATACTCCATACAGAGAGCAGACTCCCTTTCTTCTTCCTTTCCTTTGTGTGAGAGTAAAGAGAGGTCCTTTATGGAGAGTTGAGATATTGGTGTGCTATAACTTCCTCCTAGAGTGGTGTGTGAGAGTGTGTAGATAAACCTGAGCTGGAGACGGATATACGATCCTTACAAATGTGTCTGCAAAAATGAGGTAACCCAAAATGCTTGGAAAATGATATAGTAAAATTCGAGAATATTCTTTCTGAGCTCAAAGGCTGTAAAGATATGGAAACTAACTTTGCCACACTGAAAATTCTCCCGCCCAGTTCTGAATTCTGAACTCCACCGGAAGACATGGAGACCGGGAATAAACAGACGAATGGGAGTAACAACGAGTCGTTGAAAATGGCTGTAGCTATGGCGCTTATTCGATTAAAGCTTTCGCACGCTAACCACCCTCAGCCGCCCCAGTCGTCTTCATCGTCTGCTCCTCTATCAGACGTTCTGAAATGGAAGAGAAAGGTCTGTCTTACCTTCTACGCATAATCTCTGTGAAACTGTGAAAACGAATCCTAAATTCCTCCGGAAACGCTTCAGGCCAAGGAACGCAAGCTAGAAATTGCTAGACTTAGAGAAGAACTCAGAATCTCAGAAGGCTTGTCTCTCCCTCTCTCTCGCCATCTCTGGTTTCTCGATCACTCTTGAACATTATGCCAATTAATTTCATTATAAACTTGATTGCATAATTATATAATAACATACGGGCTCCAGATTTCGTATCTTCAATTAATTTAAAAGAAGCATTTGATCTAGCGTTCGTTTTGCACTTGGATCAGTGAAGTAATCCACGTTTTTTGGGGTTCCCGAATACCCTATTGCATAGCATAACCATATTTTTATTGGGGGGGAGGGGTCATAGACGGTATGCAGCAGGATATATTTCCGCATGGTGCATTGTGCAAGTGCTACTTCTTTGATAATTTGGGCCAATTGAATCCTATTAGAACTGGAGATGACAATGATCAGAGATTCAGTGACGTCTTGCACCGTAGCTTTCTCAGACAAGGTATTGTTTTCAAATAGATTTTCCCTTCCCCTCTCACAATTGTAGTTTTTCTGGAATTTTTGTTTGCTGAAAGTTTGAGTGGTTTTGTCTGAATAGTAAGAACAAATGAGAGAAAGAGAAGGTTGCCTGAAGCTTCAAAAGCAAGAGAATATGTGTCAGGTGAAAATGTTTGTACTCACATGTAACTGTTTACCTTTTTAGGGATGTATATTTATGTTGATGGTGATGCTAGTCTTGATTGCAGAATAATGGATTTTTACTAAAACAGTCCTGCCTTATGTGATCTTAAAAATACTGTTCTTAGGGTAAATTGCTGGAGTATTTGAAAGTAGCTGCTCAAAAAGTTATAGGGCTAAATCAGAGTGAAATTTCAATACTCATGATGACTGGATATACTGTTCCCAAGTTAACATTTACACATCAGATGATTTTTTGCTATTGCAGAATATAGTAATGATGGTGAAATTGAGAAACTACGGGCTTCTGTTGATTTTCTAGTGGAGACATGCCATGCTCTTTCTCAAGCCAGAGTTTGTTGTTCGCCTCAATTTACATGATCTTTTGTGATATCTAAATTTTTAACAGTGCATTCTGTTTTTATTTTTTAGTTCTTTCATCATTGTTTTTTGCAGCTGGATGAGTGTAAATTCAAAAACTGGTCTCACCAAGCTGTAGACTTTATTCTTGGTATTACGCATTCATTTGATATATATGCACCAATAATTATTTTAGAAAGACTCACTACAAAAATACTTAAACTGACTTTTTCGTTGTGCTGTGTCAAGTGATAACTAATTTATACTGTTCTCAACCCATACATTGTTTTGTGTACGAAATTGCCAATATGAAAATAAATGAAGTAATATTTAGTGCTTCTCTCACTGGTTGAGATCTTCATTGAATGATATGTTACTGCTAAGGGGCAAGTGGTGAAGAACAAAATAGTTCACTATAAGATTTTGGGTATTATGTAACTCATTAAGGGATTGCTTCCACTTTCTAATTGTACTTTTTTTTCTCATGGGTAGGGGTGCAAATGAGCCGAGCCCGAATCTATGTAGGCTCGAGCTCGAAATATATTGTATTGGCTCGAGCTCGAGCTCCGCTCGAACGAGCTTAAAAACTCGAGGCTCGAGCTCGAGCTCGCAAATATATAGTTGGCTCGATTCGGCTCGATTGGCTCGATAGATTTGGTTCGTCAACTAAAAAGTTAGAAGTTCGATTAGCTCGAAAGTTCGGGTTTGAACTCGAGCTCGAGTATGAAACAAACTTTGAATATTTGTGCTTAAAATTTGCCAATTGCAATTTACATGCCCAACAACTAAAACTAGAGTAAATGTTATCTAAATTACAAAATGGTCAAACCATGATGATTAAACTAAAACTAGAGTTACGGGAACAAAAACAAAACAAAATATATCCTAACTCCAAGTCTCCACCCATTTGTACTTCTAATGTAAATCAAAAGTTGTCAAACCATGAAAAAATAGTGGATGAAACTTTGATTATTTTTGTTAAATTACTTTATAATTAATAATATCTTCCCGGTCCTCATATACATTTACCAATCGGTATTGTGTGTTTGTGTGTGCATATATATATATAATCATATACATTATATATACTAATATTTTAATATTATATATATTAATATAAATATACACACATATAAAACTAGGCTCGCGAGCTAGCGGGACTTAAATTATTAGGCTCGGTTCTGGCTCGACTGCTTAACGAGCCGGCTCGAGCTCGAGCTCGAGTTTGACCGATCCCGATTCGAGCTTTGACCGAGCAGCTCGGCTCATTTGCACCCCTACTCATGGGTATCTTTACTCATTAAGGGATTGCTTCCACTTTCTAATTGTACTTTTTTCCCTCATGGGTAGCTTTACTAAGTATGTCTTTTCATTTATTTGGTTGAAGATGCGGTGAAGACCACATCGGCAATGGGAGTCAATTTTCCTGTTGAAGATGTTGTAAGTAGCTTAATTACGCGCCTAATGAAAATCATGTGCAGTGCAACGAAAGGAGATGGTAAACATTTGGTTGTGCTTTTTGTATATGTTTACACATGCCAGACATTGTTTCTTGTTATATTATCTCAACTGTTGTTTTTCGGTTTTAATGGGTTAAATATCATAAAGGGAAGGCATCCCTGCAAGGCGAGGGTCCGGGGAAGGGTCCCACCACAAGGGTGTTTAAGGGCCAAGACTTCCCCTGTCAAGAAGCTGCTCCCCTTAATGGTTAAATAAATATCATATTACATAAAATTTAAGAAAACTTATACTGCAGAAAATATTTTACGCAGCTTATTTTCGCAAACAAACAAAGCCTAAAATGTTTTCGGTATTTACCCCTTATAACTTTATGAGCGAATTCTGAACTTAAAATGAGGGTTATCATTGATTTGTCTGGCCTCCTGCTTGTAAAGGCTCTACACATTGACTTCATCAAGTAATTGTTCAATTTCTAAAGATACATTAGCTGGAGGCTGAACCCTCATAAATTGTTATTGGTTTTCATTTACGCCTCTTAATGAATTTGGTATTTTCTTTGTTCTTTTGGAGAATGTTTCAGAAGATCAAGCAGGGACTGATGTAAGGTTCTACGTTCAGCATTTAATGCGAAAACTTGGAAGTGACTCTTCTATTGGGCAGTGTATACTCCTTTCTGCTTCTCAGAGAATTTCTTTAGTTGCTGAAGGGTTGCTCTTCATGGATCCGTTTCACAATGCCTTTCCAGATATGCACCACTCTATGTACCTGTTGTAAGTGCCATCTTTGAGTTACCACTTACCAATTGTGGTGCTAATCTGCTCATTCTTTTCATCTGTTTCTACAACTATGATGATAAACTTGGTCAAGAGATGCACTTTTCTGTCATATACTTGTTATGCTTTTATTTCAAATGTTCTAGTATTGCTTTTTAATAGATACTCCATTCCTCCCATATTACATGTCTGTATCAGCTAATAAGGTTGACCAAGTCACTTACTAGGAGGCAACTTTAAGCAAATTACATTTGTCAGTCTCATAGCTAAATCCAACTACAGCTGTAGATTTGGGGCCACAACAGTTAATCCGTAATAAAATACTCAAGCTTAAGTCTTTAAATACAGTGTTTTGATGCGCTGTGAATAAGATTTGTTAATTATTGATTCGAAGTATTGTGAATGAAGATGTGTTTGGTAATTGGTACTGCGGTGCAATGAGACTATGGGAATGTTTTATCATTAAATAAGAACTACTTATGTCAAGAGCTGAGGTGCTGTAGTTTGAAAGCTATGAAGCTTCAAATATCTTTGCTGTTGATGACCTACGCAGCCACACATTGATATACCCTCCTCTAATACATCAATAATATTTTTTGTAACATTAATAATAGTAGAGCATTTCGTCAGCCTCTTTTCTATTAATCCATCAGTCATGTAGTTCCAGCCTCTACTGTGCACAGTCTTGTACGTTTCCTTTTCAGATCGGTGCCAAAATGTTTTTCTGGAAGCATTTGGGTATTCTGTTCATTTCAAGATTTTTGGTAAAAATGTCTGAGCCGATCTATACCACCTCTCCCTAAACATCTTTTAGTTTTAATAGGGATTCCATCAGGGTGAACTGCTTTATGCATTTCCGTTGGGGTAAAACTTCAAAATTAATATTTTTTGGACGAACACTTGCTCCATACTTTTTCCAGTATTTGCTTTGAGATGGGTGATAAAGTATTAACATGTTTTTCATTCTTCTACTATTTGAATATTTTGGCACACCATGACTTGCAGGATCCAGCTCATTGAGTTTCTGGTGTCAGATTACCTACTAACCTGGTCAGCCATTGAAGACTTCGACACAAGTACACTTTTGTTTTTTTCCATGCCAAGTCTTTATACTTAATTTTCTCTCTCAACATGTTAAACCAACCTACTTCAAATTGTACTTCTAAATTTGGATCAGCTGCTATATCCTAAAAGTTATGGATTGTGATTAATTCATTATCAATCTGTAGTTACTCACTAATTTATGGATTGTGACCCCCCCGATCCCAATAGCTATATTTCATAAGCTTTCCTTACCACGAGCACTTTTGTTTTGTGTATCAGTGGAGCATAATTGTTTCTTCTCTACATTGCCTATTAGTCTATTACTATATTTCACGGGCTTCTCTACAGGGCTTTTTGAAGAATGGGTGGTGTCAGTTCTGCGAGCAAGGAAGCCGCTGGAACTACTGGAATGCAGGATTGGGCTTTATGTGTTGTACATGGATCGTGTGATTGGACTTATAGCTAAACAAGTAAGTCAGTTTTCATTTCTCCAGAAGCTGAACCCAGAAATTCTTGCAAGTCTCTTTGGCCAATGACCACATTCTTAGTGGCATTTTTAAACCGCATTGTAAGGTAACTAAAGTGATCTCAAAGGTTTCCGAGCAGGAAACTGCTGTTTTGCCTTTAATTAATTCTCCAATGTACTGTTTCTTACTATATGTGCATAATGTGCATTTCATTATTGATGGAGGGGAACATGCAATTTAGTGATCGGTCTAAAAGGTACCACAATTTTTTTTCCTTTTTTTAGTTACAATTATCTTGAACCTGGCTTCCTGAACTGTTGCTGCGAACACTGATCATTGTGGAAATGTTTTAGTTGTGGACTTGTGGCCTCATATACTATATAGTGTTATGCCTTAGGGATTCCCCGACGATTTGGACCATATTTCAGATTTGAAATGGTTGGATGTGATAAACGTTGTAGCTACATTAGTATACTGGTTAATTAGTAGATTAAAAAGGAATTTTGGACAACCAACCTTCAATTCATTTTTATTTCAATATACAATAGAGTATGCAGGGTTTAAACATATAAAAAAACAAAAAACAAATTGGGACAAGATCAAGACCAATCCAGAACCAAAAATAGAGGTCCTTTATCCCAATTCTCATGTGCCTCCAAGGATGTTTTTACTTGGACTGTAATTTGCTGGTCTGAACTGGTCTGGTCTGGTTTCTTTGTATTTTTATAATTATCCAAGTCTGGTCTGGACTGGTCTGGTCTGGGACAAATTACAGTCCAAGTAAAAACATCCGAAGTAGCCGCTGGTTCATGAATCATGACCAGAACCAACCTAAAACCGGACCATGTCCACCATTAGGTCCAACCTTTACTCGGATACAAAGTTTGCATGCAATGGGTCATTTATGCCATTTAGTTATACTCCGTATAATATAGTAATGTGCTAAGTGCAAACACGACCTTTAACTTGAATTACTTTTCTATTACTTCATGTATATTATTATTTTTAAGAAAAAACGACATAAGTATCACCTCTCTGCATTTTGGAAGACAGAATACGAACAGTTTTTTTAAAGAAAACATGTGACTTACCTCTATTTGATTAATTAAAGATTCTTCTCCCTCTAATCTCAACTCAATTTATCACTTACCACAATCTTGCTACCGATGATTGTCAGAAATGGATCCCCAAGATTTGAGCTAGGAAAGTGGAGAAGAAGAAACAATGGGCTGAGCCGTTAATATAAGGGTGGACTCGGTCGGGCCGCCTGGCCCGGTACTGTTTGGGCCCGGACCAGGCCCGGTACCCGGTCTTGGGGCCGGTTCGGGCCAACCGGAACCGCTCTAATCCCGGCGCGGGCGCGGGCCCCCTAAAATGCGAACCGGTTCGGGCCCGGTTTGGGCCTATTTTTTTTTTTTTTTTTTTTCAATTGTTTTGTTTCTACCTTGGGGGGGGGGGGGGGGGGGGGTAAGGGGTTATTTAGAAAATAAAAAAAATAAAAAAAAAATATTGAACCGGAACTGCCGGCTACCCAGGCCCGAACCGGAACCGGCTCGGCCCAGGTCCATCCCTACGTTAATATGGGTCCATCCAACAACATAAAAGACTAATCTAGTACATGCAAATGATATATGAACTGTACAATAATAGAGACATAAAAATGCTAGTGACATAATAAATTGATAGTTATGCCTATAATTTAATTTATTAACTTGTAAATCACATTTTCTTCTATATGTAAAATAGTCATTTTTTCGAACCGAATTTGAAAATAGTACGTAGTTATATTTAAGGAAAAATCTTACTTCCTCCGTCCTTTTTTTTTTATCGTCTCTTCCTCCGTCCCTTTTTATTTAGCCAAAAACTATTTTTAAAGTCAATGACTTGAAACTTTGACCTATTATATAGTTATACACGTAATATTGATAATATGAACATGATATCAAAATGTTATTTGTTAAAAATATTATCATAAAAGTACAAATTTACTAAGTTTCATACATTAAAATAATGGATCAAAGTTTATCACCTTTGATTGAAAAGGTCAAAGATGGCTAAATAAAAAGGGACGCGGTAGTATTATTTTTAAATTTTTAATATATTTTTAATCTCTTATAATATATGGAGTATTTAAGTAAACCCTTTTAATAGTATTTTTTTTGTTTGAGATCCACACCAAACTACTTTTCATATTTCATCAATTTAATTTACATTTTTTGGTTTAGTACCTCATTCATCTCTTAAGCAACCATCGTTGACTATGAAACATACATAACTGCTAAGATAGTATTATTTTTCTTTCTTTCTTTTTTTTTGCATCATCTCATTTAGGCAAATTATATGACATCTTATCCCAACAATCTAATTAGATTATTACAATTGAATAATTCAAATTTAAACAAATAATGACATAGATCAATTACCAATTGTCCAAAAGGTATGGTAGCTGCATAGGTCAGCAGATGCGGTCGTCTCCCTAGCAATTAGAGTTGGAATGCACAACTTTTGAGTTTTTTCGCCGGTTTCTTTGGCTAATCGGATCCTGCCTCAGCGGATTCCTTTGTTCCGGTCATTGGCATCCCTTGTTCTTTTATTATTGTGCAGGTTTTTCGGCTTCGAACTTGCGGGCTTTGAGAAGGAATCATGGGCTTTGGTGGACTGTTGCGCCGCAGGTTGTTGATCGACAAGTATGGAAGGTTTCGAACGCAGCAGGGCATCGGCTCAGGCGTTTTGGAGGTAAGCAGACAGAAGCAGATTTGGATCGCGCTGTTTTGCTCGGGTTATGACCTCCTCGCTTGTGCTACTGGTTTCGATTGGGGAGACTTCATTAAGCGTGGATTCCGGGTTCACTCGTGCTATAATCGGGATGTCATTGGAAATTGTGGTGGTGGGTTTGAAGGGAATATTTCAAGATGAATGGTTGATGATCCGTTCCCCTCCTGAACCACCGCCGAGGATGATGTTTGAAGCATGGATTCGATTGCTCTATCAGTTTATTTTAATAAATTCCGTTTTACTCTTTTTGAGTTTCTTAGGCATGAACAATGTCATTGTTGTCTTCTGCTATTTCTATTTCAAACAGACTCTTACATTAGATGGGGTGATGAGGGTTTTGCTTTGGCCACGTTAGGCTCATTTAGACCCACTACAGGATCACCGAATCATATTTCTTTTTAAAGGGTAATTGGTTCTCAGGCTGATTCGAGGATCGATGGTTGGAAGCGGTTCCTCTATCTCTTTTGTCCCTTGCTGAATGTTTTATTATCAATTTAAACCATCCTGTTCCAAAAAAAAATGTCCAAAAGGTATAAAATGTGCGGTGGAAGTTTAGGCTGAGTTGGGAATTTGGGATAGTGCCATTAATTAATCTATTTATAAAATGGAGACATAAGTTCTCATAGTCACAAAAGTATAAAAAGTTACATTTTTATCCATTGTCTTTATTTTAGTCATATAGTCCGTATTTGTCATTCTTTTCTTATATATTACAGAGTTTTTAAGTTTTGCTTAATTGGGACATAGGAAATCCTTAAATTAGAATGAAATATAATTTTGAAACGTATTAGAAATTCAGAAGATTTCAGCTTATGGTTAACAGAAAACTTAAAGGGAACCGAGTAACTTGAGAATATACCTTTTTTTTACAGCATACTAAAAGAAAACTAAGTTCCAGACTCATCAAAAGGCAACCCAAATAAAAGATAGGAAGAAGAAAAAAGAACATCGTGAGCCAGAAAACATCAAAGATTAAACTGACACCTTATTCACTCTGAAGGAGTTCATGACTTCGCGAATGTCCTTCTCCGCTACAGAGAACTCCTTTTCAGGAGTCTGTATTCTCAATTCATATAACCTGTTGTTTTCCACTCCAAGTACGGAGAGGTATCGCCGATCCCATTCCAGGCGAGCCACTCGATCTTGTGGCATCACAGCCAACTCATTGTTGTTGGCATATGACTTTATATTCACCTATTTGGGACATTGTGAAAAAATGCATTACATAATTTCATGCAGTGATTCATTTCTTGACAGTTGACACTAACAGAAATACAATGCTACTTGATTGGGGCATTTTTTTTAATTGTATATAACTGTATTGCTTAGACTGTTTACAATGGACACATGTATATCAATCTCCAATCTCAAAGTAATAAACTTTTTACTACGCTGGTAAGATTGTAATTGGGTGAGGTCTCAGCCGATTCAGACACAGAGTCGTCATATGTATTGGACTATGTGCATAAAATTAATTCCCACCTGGATCCAGACAATATTTGAATATTTTAAAACGATCAAGGCTATTGTATATTCAATTTTGGACGGGGCAAGATCTGGATCTGATTTATATAAATGATAAGTATACAAGCTAAATTTCATTTTCATTTTCATTTTCATTTTCATTTACCCCAGTGCCGCAAAGGCTCCCACCTACGGTGGGGTAAGGGGGGTCGGATGTACGCAGTCTTACCCCTGTACTAAAGCACAAAGAAACTGTTTCCGGATGACCCATAGTGAAAATCGCGTCCAAAATTGCATGGACTGACTGTTGCTTCATAACAAAGAAGCGCAGACAGTTTGGTGAGCCATTTTGCTTTATTTCATCATATTCTCAAGCCAAAAAATAATGAATCTCTGGCTCCGTTGCAAATGATGGAATCATGGAAATAAGTATACAAGCTAAATATGTAACATAAAAAAATGGAAAATGCTAATGATTACTCTAAGGACATTTTTACTTCACGGGGTATTAAATGACGCTTATTAAGACATGTGTTAGTAAGCGATGCATAAAATAAGCAGTGCTATAAGCACACATTTACTTCACATGAAAAAAAATACCATTTAACATTAAAATGATCCAAAATAACTCTATACATGTATATGCACACACATTCATATATGCACATGTATATATAATATACACATAACATAGTATAGCATAATATAATATATACATTATATACATAATATTCTATATATAATATTATATGTATGTGTGCACATGTATGTATGCGTATTTTATAGAATATATTTATAAGGTGTAAGGGTAAATGCGGAAACCGAAAAAGCTTAAATTGTTGCTTAATTAATACATGAGGGGTGATATGCTTAGTAAGCGACACTTTAAGCATGTGTTTGGGCTATTAAACAGCTTTTAAGCAGTATGCGTGTTTACTTCACATGTCTTAGCAACCTAACCGTGTTTTTAACACTGAAGTAAACATCTCCTAAGGGTGTTAAATACGGAGTAGATGCATTGGGATACGGGTTTCAAATGTTTAATAGCCGGGTACTTTGGAATAACTATGTAAATTTATATTAGCATAAGTTATGGATAAGTTTGTTTGCAGATGATTGCGTTAGAATTATTATACGTAGTAAATGATCTAGAAACTTTAATTGGAATGGTGATTAGGTAAAAAATTTGACGCCTTACAGTTTTTATAATGCATCTCAATCCAAACTGAATATTAGTTTAGATCTAAATATGAAAAATCTTTATATCATTTGGAACTGGATTTGAACCGGATCAAATCTGTGACCGAACTGGCCCGGGTCTGGGATATAGAGGGTAGTTCCAACGGTCTAGGTATGGATGTGGGTCTACTTTTTTCGGGATAGGTATGGGTATGTGTATGGGTATGGAATTGTATGTACTATGTATGTCCACATTTAAAGTTCATGTTCACTGTTTATGCTATCAACTCAAGTTTCTCATAATCTCAAATTTGATAGATCAAATTGATATCATTTTTGAATAGTGATTTTGCGGTCCAATAAAACTTTTAGTGTAGTTTCAAAATATAGAAATTTAAATATCGACAAGGAAGAGCTAATCTTATCATCATCGTAAACCGCAACATGAACTTCTGCGAGAGACAGAGAAGTAACTTGTGACTACAGCAAGGACAAAGATATTACCTCAACTTGATAGTACAACCTCCCATCATCTGCCACTCTTGAAGAAGAGGAGAGAATGCTTGATTCACGCCTGACGCCAAGCCTAGTGGACATGAACTCCGTCAAATACTGGCGAAGTGCTTTCTTTGCAGCTTCTTGGGGCGGGCCCAAATCTTCTACACTTTGGTACTTGGAGGAGGAAGGAGAGGATATCTCCAAGGAGAGATTCACATCAAGAACATAAGGATCCCTGAAGAATATGTCAGCACCAGCACCTCTTACTTGAATCCAGTTGTGAGGATACATGAATGAATAGCCATTAAAGTTATCAATGTACTCCCTAAACCCAATGGATTGAGCAAGTGCGGTGTCTAGTGAATTTGTTAGCACGAAACTCGAGAAAATCAAGGCGATTGCCCCTCTCCTGGGAACTGCAAAATCTTTACTCTGGTTATGTATAAGAAAACTTCTAGTGAGAATACAAGTATACACATGCAGGGGTACATGATTCTTCTTATATGATTTTTTTTCATTTAAAAGTGGCAGGTTATGTTCACAAGAAAATAAAAAGTGGCTGTTTGGTCTATAGGATGAAGACACCAAAACTTGCTGATTAATTGTGCAGAGAGTCCTACTAGCAGAAAAGTTTATAACAGTGGTAAAAGCAGTAAACACTATGAAATTCTACAATACTTCAAATGAAAGAAAAGTAAATCATTTGAAGCACACGAGAAAGAAAGATTAACCAAATTAATGATTTAATTTAACTAATTTGAAGTAGCGTGAAGCATACACAATGGAGGATTGATTTTATATTGTTTCTCTCCCTCTTTCTCTATTTATTGTTTTTATCTCTGGTATCATGTGTCTAACCTCTTTTAGAAATAAGGCTTGGATGTTGTTGAAGTAGCACTACTCCTATTGTACCCACAGACAAATATAGTTAAGGGCGTGATTAAAAAAAAACAGAAAAACTTCTAGAATTACTTTTTTTAATGTTACTATAACCCGCCACAAGCTTGATAAAAGCATGCCATGTGCAAGAAAGTGTTGAAATTGTTAGGCTGTACCCAAATAAGCAGTGGCGGAGCCAGGAATGTCAAGTTACAGGGGCCATGGCTTAAGGAATTTATATAACCGGGGCCAATACTTAAATTTTCACTATATTTTTTACTGCTTATAAATATTTATACATATGTATATACATCACAAATTTTTTCTTGCAGGGGCCACGGCCACCCCCATCCACCCCCTGTCTCCACCCCTGCAAATAAGTAAAACTGATGAAACAGTACCTTCAGAACAGAAGTTTCTCCATTATCACAACAAAGATGTTTCCAGGAACTGTGAGCATAACTCTTTGATTTTTTACTCCGATTTGGCACATTTCTATCTAATGAGTCCACTGCAATAGCAAACAACAAATACATTTTAAGAACAAGAAACAGATTAAGAAACAACAAAATTGTTGCATGCAATCTTCTCCCTCCCTTCCAAATCAGCGGTATTAAAATTAGTAATGTAATTGAAATTTACAAATAGTAAAACTACTCAGTGTTATTTAAATTTTACTGAACTGCTAAGACATAGTTTGAATATACGGAGTAGTAAAAATTCGTTGACATAAAATTTGAAAGTAAAAGAGCTTAGAGTTGACAGAAGAATAGTGAGCGGAAACGCTAGTTTAGAATAGAGTACAGTGAAATTGGTTATTTCATTCTTCAGCTCCTAGAACCGGGAATATGTGACGATTATGAACATCTTTTCAACATTTTGCGATTCAATGGTTATTATATTATCTTTATTTCCTCCATTAACAAGTGTTTTTTTTATCTAATTTCCCCACATAGATATGAATTTGAAATGAAATAGAAATCAAATGGCATAGCAAATTATTCCGGAGTACCTTCCGGAAAAACACCGAGGTGAGGGCGTATGCAAGGGACGATAGAAGACAGCGTTACAAGAGTCGGAGTGGAGAGATACGAAATGCGAGAAGCGATGATGGCGTTTGATGATGAAGGGAGAGCTGCCATGGCGAATTGAAAATCGGAGAGCCACCCGCTCGCTTCGTAATCGGATTTGGTCCCACGGGCAGGGTGTTTGTCCGGAGGTAGGATGAGGAACGTTTTCTTTCTTACCCTTCAAATTTAACTATCTTGTATTTATAAATGTTTTTAGAAATAATTACATATGATTAAATAAATATGATTTTTAATTTTTAATTACATAGAAAAATGTTTTTTTCATTGTTTTCCGTCCCAAACCAAAATCATACCAGATTAGATCAGACCAAATCAGACCAGACTTAGATAATTACGGAGTATAAAATACAAAGAGACGGACATTTACTACATCAGTTCAGACCAGACCAGTAAAATTTAGTCCAAGTAAAAACATCCTTAATTATGGCAGCTTATAATTCAAATCAAGCCATATCAAGAAAAGATACTTTTAATAATATTATTGAAATGAAACTTATTTACAAAAATCAGATTAATCGTTACTATAATATAATTTCATAATTATTTAAGTGTAAAAATTGAACATAAGTTATTATGAACAAGTTATTAAGATTGGTCCAAATCATTAGGTACTTAAGAAAATCACCAAATACTAAGCAAGTAACCGAAAAAGGAACGAGCCTATTCAGATTGCTACGACTCAGCCACCCCTGAGTTGCAATGTAATTTGAAAATTCAAAAGAACATATGATCAGGAAATTGAGGGTGAATAAAACCTCGGGGCTGACGCATATATACTTCTTCAGTCAGATGACCGTGTAAAAAGGCATTTTTAACATCAAGCTGCCTGACTACCCAATTAAAAGAAATAGCCAAAGTAAGAACAATACGCACAGTAGTAGGCTTTATAACCGGATGATATTTTGTTTTATAAATCCACTTACACCCGACAATATTCTTAGAGTTGTCAAAAGGAACCAGATCCCATGTACGGTTAGTAATAAGTGCATTAAACTCTTCAACCATAGCCTCTCTCCATTTTAAATGTTTATTTGCCTCATGTAAGGATCGTTTCCGTCTCCGGCTCAGGTCTCCAACCTTCTAAACTAAACTCACACACACCACTCTAGGGCTTAGGCCACTCCATCTCCCATGTTTACTCACTCTTCTTCACTCCACTAAGGAACTCTCACACAAAGGGAAAGGAAGAAGGAAGACACTGCACTGGGATGTTCTCTCGCAGGCTTATCTCACAAAGGGAAGGGAGTGTTGACTTTATAATAGGCTGCCTGCCTATAGAGAAGTCACGGGCATAATTAACAGGACACTCACGGGTATGTATAGGACACTCACGGGTAAGCCAAGACAAACAAAGGGTGCAGTGGACAGCAAGCAATGGGGCTGATTCCAGGTAAGTCAACAGGGCACCAATGAGTGATTTCAACTCAGGGAATCAAAGTGGGAGTAAACATGGGGTGCAGGCCTAAATAATAAAGTGGAAGGGAGGCCTTGGTAGGACCAATACCTCCAACATTCTCCACCTTATTGGTCCTAAGTGGTGTAGAGTAGCAAAACAGGTTGTGAGGAGACTCATCATCACCGGGTCACCCGGAATATCAACAGACACAACGGGCAAACACTTTATTAGGCAACCCACAGTTATCCACAGTCAAAATTTAACACGCGTTTACAGGACAAGTGCTTCTCAGCAGAAAGACACTTGGTACCCATATCCGCGGGGTTAAACTCCGACGGGATCTTGCACAGCTTGACTCCACCTGCATCAACAATATCACGTATGAAATGGAACCTAACATCAATATGCTTAGTTCTATCATGAAATACAGGATTTTTGCAAAGTTGGATAGCCGATTGGCTATCCGAGAAAATGGTAACTCCCTTTTTGAGAAACCCAATTTCGGAGACAAGGCGTTTGAGCCAGATGGCTTCCTTAAACGCTTCTGTGGCTGCAACATACTCGGACTCAGTGGTAGAAAGGGCCACAATAGGCTGTAGTTGAGACTTCCAACTAATGCAAGAGCCACACAAAGTAAAAACATAAGAAGTGGTCGACTTCCTGTTATCTCTATCATTTGCATAGTTAGAATCAACATAACCAATCAATTCAATACCACTAGCACATTTAGAGAAAATTAATCCATGCTTCACAGTAGAAATCAGATATCTAAGCAACCACTTAAGAGCATTCCAATGGGGCAAACCAGGGTTGGACATATATCTACTCAAGCAACTAACCGCATATGCAATATCAGGTCTAGTGCTAACCATAAGATACATCACCGACCCTATTGCGCTGGAATAAGGCACAGATTTCATTTTCTCAATTTCAGGAGCAGTCTTGGGAGACTGGTCCTTACTTAACACAAAGTGAGATGCCATAGGGACATTAACAGGAGAAGCAGATAACATATTAAATTTACTCAAAACTTTTTCTATGTAAGAAATCTGATTCAAAGTAAGAGTACGCTTACTCCTATCCCTAACAATGTTTATGCCTAGGATCCTCTTGGCATCACCTAGGTCTTTCATGGCAAAATTCGCACAAAGACATTTCTGCACATCTTTAATAGCATTCAGAGAAGGACTAATTATCAGCATGTCATCCACATAGAGTAACAAAAATACAGGCACAGAGGAAGTATTCTTGAAATACAGGCAATGATCACAAACAGATTTTTGGAACTTCAAAGATATCATGCATTTATCAAATTTGATGTTCCACTGCCTAGGGGATTGCTTCAGGCCATACAAAGCCTTCCTAAGCAAACAGACATGCTCACTTCTCTTGGGATCCACAAAGCCCTCAGGCTGGGTCATATAAATTGTTTTATCCAATTCACCATGCAAAAATGCAGTAGTTACATCCATCTGTTTCATTTCCCAGTCATGGTGAGCAACTAAAGCAAGCATCATACGAATAGTGGTGAATTTAACAACAGGAGCAAAGATTTCTGCATAATCTACCCCCTCTTTTTGAGTAAACCCCTTCGCAACCAACCTAGCCTTAAACCTAACATCACTAGGTTCTTCCTTAACCTTAAACAACGACTTACACTCAACTACCGAACAGTTGGGGGGTCTAGGTACAAGGGTCCAAGTCTGGTTCACTCTCAAAGAGTCCATCTCACTTTTCATGGCACTAATCCATTTCTGAGACTCTTTGGAACCTAAGGCTTCACGGTAGGTCTTGGGTTCATTCAGCTCTAGGGATTCAAACACAGAAAATGCAAACATAGAAGTATCATGCACAATGAAAGCATAATCAGGCATACTATCAGCAGTTCTCCTGATAGCCCTTCTACTCCTATCTCTAGCAAGTTGATAATCATGCAAATTATCACTACTAGGCTCCACATGCAACTCATGCAAATTATTGTTATCATGAAAATCAGATTCAGCACCCATATCGTGCAAATCATGCTCAGTATCATGCAAATGTTCCACCTCACTTGAGGTGGTGGGACTATCATGCTCAGAGGAATCAGAATCATGCATAACAATATCATCAGTAATAACAGGATCAACAGACAAAGGACTAGCAGCAACAGGGACAGACTCCACCTCACTAGGAGTACTATAAGACCTAGACTCAGGTTCGGAAATAGACTTGGTCAAGCAAGGAAAATCAGTTTCATTGAACACCACATTTCTGCTAAGGACCACTTTAAAGCCTACCTGGTTCCTATCCCATAACCTGTAACCCTTTACCCCCTCTGGATAACCTAGGAAGACACACTTCTTAGACCTAGGATCCAACTTGTCACCCTGTTGGTGTGCATACGCTGCACAACCAAACACCCGAAGGTTAGACAGATCAAGAGGCTTACCGGTAAAGACGGCTTCAGGACATTTACCACCAAGAGGGACAGACGGGGACCTATTAACCAAATAGGCAGCAGTAGTGACTGCTTCACCCCAGAATTTCTTAGACAAACCAGAGGTAGCTAACATGCTTCTAACCTTATCCAACAGAGACCTATTCATTCTCTCTGCTATCCCATTCTGTTGGGGAGTATAAGGCACAGTTTTGTGCCTTCTTATCCCACAATCCACACACAGCTTATCCATCTCCTTATTACAGAACTCTAACCCGTTATCAGTCCTAAGGGTTTTAACCTTCCTGCCAGTTTGGTTTTCAACTAGGGTTTTCCACTCCCTAAACCTCACAAACACATCAGACTTGTGTTCTAAAAGGCAAACCCACACCTTCCTAGAGAAATCATCAATGATAGAAAGGAAATATTTCCTACCCCCGTGGGTAGGAACACTGGCAGGACCCCAAACATCGGCATGAACATATTCAAGCACAGACGAACACTTAGACAGATTAGGGTAAGAGGAATGAGGGAAGCTGACTCTATGCTGTTTGCCTAAAACACATGATTCACAGAAAGGCACAGAAGTCACAGAGTCCTTACCAAAATAACCAGCCCTACGCATGACATCTAAACCCTTATTGCTCATATGTCCTAGCCTATTATGCCACAAAGAGGTCTTATCAGAACATACAACATTCACAGACTCAGTAAAAGGTTTAGCATGACACACATAAAGGTTATTCACCTTCTCAGCTTTAAACAAAACAAGCGAGTTTTTCAGGATTTTCATACAACCATTCCCCCATTTTCCCTGCAACCCACTACTCTCCAAAGCAGCAACAGATAACAAGTTATGACACAAATCAGGGACATGCCTCACATTCTTAATGGTAAACACAGAGCCACAAGAAAACTTCAGACATATATCACCAACACCAAGCACATTGCATCTCTTATTATCAGCTAAGGAAACGTAGCCACTATCACATAATTCATAAGTAGAAAACAAATCTCTAAAGGGGGACATGTGATAGGTACAACCAGAGTCAATCAACCATTCATGCTCAGACAGGGAATTTCTCACAGAATTAACATGGTCACAAACCATCAAAATATCACCATGGTCACATTTATCAACAGCTACACTAGCATGCTCGGTCTTCTTAGGGTGGGGGCAATCCTTAATGAAATGGCCAGTGTTACCACAATTGTAACACACTCTCTTCCTAGATTTACTCCTCTTCCTCCCAGGCTGACTAGCGTTCTTACCCTGACTATTTTGCTTAGGATTCTTAGACCTACCCTTAGATCTACCCCTAACAAACATAGCCTCACCGGAGTCCCTAGACTGACTAGCACTACCCCTAGCATGCTTCAGGTCTAATTCCTTACTCCTTAACCCATTCACCACAATGTCTAATGAAATCTCATCCCTACCGTACTTAATAGCGGACTTAACATCATTATAAGAGTCGGGAATGGCATTAAGTAATACTATGGGAGTGTAATCATCTATGTGTTTATCACCTGCCTGTTTGATATTCTGTATCAGTTTATTAAACACATCCAGGTTCTCATCTATATCCTTAGTCAGGTCAAGCCTAAACCTAAAGAATTTCTCTAGTAAGAACAACTTCCCGGGCAAAGAGGTATCAGTATAGAGACTATCCAATTTCTCCCACAATTCCTTAGCAGACTCAAGAATACCTACTTTCCTAAGCACAGAATCAGACAGATTCAAGTAAATAGTAGAACAAGCAGTTTCGTTCATTTCAATTTGCTTAGCCTTATCTTCTGATTCTAGGAAAATACCAGTGACAGCTCTGAAAACTTTTTGCTGTATTAAAACACACTTAATTTTCTGTTTCCAAATATCAAAATCTGTTTTTCCATTAAATGGAAGCATACCATACTGATTTGCAGCCATGGTATCAACCACAAAAGAACACAAAGCTAAACAGATAGAAATGACAGAAAATAATCCAACCCGGGTTATAAAGTATTCACTTTAATAACCCCGGGCAGCACATAGCAAAAAAATGGACATTTTGGCAATTAAACAATTCCGGGCAGAAAATTAAAATTAATTAATTCTACCCCTACCACCCAATAAACTACCCCTACGCATAACAATTAATTTAAATAACACAAAGCAATTTAATTAATTAACTAAAACAAACTACCACAAAGGAGTGAGTTTAGAAAACGTACCTGGGGGGTTGGCGGCCGGGATTAAATCAATCGGCGGCCCGCGGGGAGGGGGAATAAAATTAAATTAAATTAAAACCGGAATGCTATAAATAGTAAGTTTACTGAAAACTTACCTTCGCGAAACCCTAGGAGAGCGTTTCGATCTTACCTACCCAATTTAAAAAAATTGGGATTTTTCTGGAGGGTTGACTGCCGTTGACCAGCGTTGACCGGCGTTGACCAGTTGACCAGGTCCAGCAGTCCAAGTCCAGCTCCAACAGCATCAGCCCAGTCCAGCTCCAGTTTGAGCAGCCCAGCACCTAACCAGCCCAAACAGAAACCCAGCAGTAGCTTTCTGACCCAAATCCAGCAGCTCTTCAGCAATCCAGCAGTGCAACAGTCCAGAAGCCCAGTTCCAGAGGCCCAGAAGTCACCAGTCCAGCAGCTTTCTTCAGCCCACGGGTTCACGCGTCCAGCTACAGTAGCATAGGGGCCTTCGTCTTCTACATCTGCGCGAGAGAAGAAAGACCAGCGACAAGCTGGTTCTCTGGCCAGCGCTTTTCTTCGGCGACGAACCGGGAACTCCGGCGGCGAGATTCGTTCCCAGCGGCGGCGAGCTCCCTTGCGGCGGAGAGCTCCCTTGCGGCGGTGGATTTCCTGCGGCGATGGCTTTTCTGCGGCGGCGGTGGATTCAGCTTCTGGCAATGGCGGTTCGAGCTCCCGGCGACCTCGATTTCAGCGAACAGAGACCTCAGCGAGCTTGTGGGAACGACCAGGCAGCTCCAGCAACCCTCGGCGAGCTCCAATCGACGGCGGTGGCTGACGGCGGCGGCGGACGGCGGCGGAGGACGGCGGCAGACGGCGAACCTCGCTCTGATACCACTGTAAGGATCGTTTCCGTCTCCGGCTCAGGTCTCCAACCTTCTAAACTAAACTCACACACACCACTCTAGGGCTTAGGCCACTCCATCTCCCATGTTTACTCACTCTTCTTCACTCCACTAAGGAACTCTCACACAAAGGGAAAGGAAGAAGGAAGACACTGCACTGGGATGTTCTCTCGCAGGCTTATCTCACAAAGGGAAGGGAGTGTTGACTTTATAATAGGCTGCCTGCCTATAGAGAAGTCACGGGCATAATTAACAGGACACTCACGGGTATGTATAGGACACTCACGGGTAAGCCAAGACAAACAAAGGGTGCAGTGGACAGCAAGCAATGGGGCTGATTCCAGGTAAGTCAACAGGGCACCAATGAGTGATTTCAACTCAGGGAATCAAAGTGGGAGTAAACATGGGGTGCAGGCCTAAATAATAAAGTGGAAGGGAGGCCTTGGTAGGACCAATACCTCCAACACCTCAGAAAAACACGATGGGTCAGAGCCAATAACAGCAGTGTGTAAAGAAAAAATAGTTTTCGGTTTAAAGATCCCGGACTTGGCACGTGTCTGCATGGAATGAGTATTGACCACTGGAACTGACACGGGAACACTTAACGGAATACTGACTGAGGCTGTGGTCTCGGTAGAAGATACGGGAGAAGGTGACTTATGCATGGGGCTGGTGACTGGGAAAAATGTGGAGGGTGAGGACTGGTTATGGCTGGGAACCGAACTGTGTTCGGTGGAGACAGAAGATGAGGAAAGGCTAGAAGCCGGGCTAGGGACGATGGAGGATGGTGAGCTGGGCAGTGAGCTGGGGCGTATAGGGCTGTCAGCGGATGAGAAATGGGTATCTCGGGTCAGAGTTATGTCAGGCAGGGGAACCGAATTGCTGGAGTATGGCAGACCTTTAGAAGATGAGTTTATGCTAGAGAGGGGAGCATCTAAAAGGCTAGGACGAACTGTAGGTGGAGTAGCCGTGGGAGAGGACAGTGTAGAGGACTGAAAGGGGTAAGAATTTTCGTGAAACCGGACATGGCGACTAAAATAAACACGCCTAGTAATAGGATCAAAACAACAATAGCCCTTATATCCTGATGCATACCCAAGAAAAATACATTGCACAGACCGAGATGAAAGTTTATTAGATGAGGTGGCAGAGAAATTAGGATAACATGCAAACCCAAAAACACGCAGAAAAGAGTAATCAGGAACTTTCCCAAAAAGTTTTTGAAAGGGAGAAAGACCATGGAGTAGAGGAGAAGGTAATCTGTTAATAATGTATGCAGCCGTATATATGGCATCTACCCAAAAATGACTCGGAACCGAAGCTTCAAGAAGCATGGTACGAGTGAGTTCCAAGAGATGCTTATGCTTACGTTCAGCAACACCATTTTGCTGAGGTGTATCGGGGCAAGATTTTTGAAAATAAATACCATTGGAAGTAAAAAATTGTTGCATATCATGATTAACAAACTCACCCCCTCCATCACTTTGAAAAATTTTAATTTTATGATTAAAAAGATTTTCAACCAAAGATTTGAAAATTTTAAAATGCATAAAAACTTCACTCTTGCGATGCATGGGGTAAATCCAAGTAAATCTAGAATAATCATCAATAAATAACACATAATATTTAAATCCCAAATTTGATGGCACGGGAGACTGCCACACATCAGAATGAATTAATTGCAATGGAAAAACAGAAGTATGAGTAACATCAGAAAAGGGAAAACGTTGTGATTTTCCTAAATGGCATGGAACACAGTCATAAGTAAAGCTAGAGCTATTACATAAAGATTTATTGTTTCTAAGATAATGCAAAACTGTGTCACCGCAGTGACCTAATCTACGATGCCAAACTGGACCCGGAGCAGACACAGATGCTAAGGCTAGAGACGATGAAGACGGCAGACTGACAGGATAGAGTGGTCCACTACTGGAAGCCTGAAGAAGTACTGCTCCCGAGATTTTGTCCTTTACAAAAAATGAATTTTTATCAAAAATTACGACACAATTGTTATCAGCACATAATTTTTGAATAGAAATTAAATTAAATTTTAACTGAGGCACATGATAAACATATTTTAAAATTAAAGGACGGCTAGACGAGGGTATGGACACATCACCAACATGACAAATAGGAAGTTGTTCACCATTAGCAACACTAATAGAAGTAGAGCCAGAGTAAGGAGATTTATTAAGCAAATTACCGTCAGATGTCGTCATATGAGCAGAAGCTCCCGAGTCGGGATACCACAAAGCAGAGTTAGTTTCCCCCGAATTAGTCATCAGTGCTGGGGCAGACGGCTGAGAAAAACGGGACGGACATGCAAGTGCGGAGTGACCTGTAGAGAAACAAATCTGACACACAATAGGAGGTGGGACAGATCCCAGAATACCCCCATCATAGTTATGTGCTAATGAAGTTTGCGACTTCAATTTGGAACAAAGGGTCACGGTATGCATTTTATAACCAGCATTTAATATGAGTTGGTTAAGAGCCATAATAATATGTTGATGTAGAGTCTGATTCATGAAAATATGTCCAATTGGGAGGGGCAAATTTATATATAAAAAAAGTGTTAATAACGGGTTCTAAGTAAACCCGCTATAGAAAGTAAATATGGAGGGGGTCATATTCCACTTTTCGTCCTACGAGTTTTGTGTCAATTCTACTTTTAGTTCACGTCTTTCACTTTGTCCACTTTTGATACTTGACTAATGTTTTTTAACTGTTTGTGGTCCTTTTCCGGTAATTTTAACCATCGGAAACAATGCCGGAAGAATCATATATAGTCGGAAACACAATAGTCATGTATCAAAAGTGGACAAAATAAAAGATGTAAACTAAATATGAAATTGACCTAAAACTCGTAGGATCAAAAGTGGAATTTATTCTATTCATAAATCTCAAAAAGTATGATCTCGCGCAGGGTCATTTTTCAGTAAGAGTTAAAAGGGACTTTTAATAACGGCTAAAATGAATATTAAATAACAAAAGTATGCCCAATAGAGAATAGAGTTTATCGAATTTGGTTTGTAAGTAGAATAAGAAAGTTAGAAGTCCATTATTAAAATCTGTGTAGATGAATAAAAAGTAATACAAATTACAAATTTATTTTATATACGGAGTATGAAGAAACGATAAAGTTTTTGGGATGAGCATATAAGAAAAGTAGACAAAAAAATTGAAAAACGAATGGAGCCGCTAATATGTATTTTCTCCGCCACATTCTAATGTTTTCATTTCCATATACAAATTCTCATTTCTATTTTAGGAAACAATTAACACTATTAAATGATAATTTAATCACCAAATATTAAAAATAATACTTCTATAACATCAAACTTATCATCAATGACCCATTAACTTATATATCCATAAAATTTTGGATTCATGCAATGATCGAAATCTAATAACCAGTTTCACATACGTTATTTTTTAATTTAGTTAGTGTCAAAATCTGATCTCTCAAAATCTCATGTATCAACCCCATAAATTTAGTAAAAATATGGGAAAGCGTGATTTTTCCTAGGGCGAAAGCCGCTAGGCCTGTTCTTCCTAGGGCGTAAGCCGCTAGGCCTCTTCTTCCGATTTCGATCGCTACAATCGAAGATCGGGTTTCCTTTGTTTGTTTTGATTTTACACAGAGAGACTACAGGCGGCCGACGAGGGTCGTGCGGTTTGGTTGTAGTGACGAATACCGTAAAAGCAGTTCTGGATCGTGATCTTGCTCGGCTTATGGACTCCTTGCTTGTGCCACTGGTTTCGATTGGAAAGGTAAGCATGGATTCCTGGTTCATTCGGGCTATAATAATAGGGATTAAGAAGATGTCAGTGGAATTTGTGGTGGTGACTTTGCAAGGAATGTTTCAAGATGAAGGGTTGATGATCCGTCCCCCTCCTGAGCCACCACCGAGGCGTTGGATGGTGGTGGGGAAGAAAACTTGTCATGGTGTTTTTATTATTGTCTGCTTTGGTTATCTTAATTTAGGTTATTTTATTATGTTTGTTTTTCGTGTTTTCATTCCTTGTAAGACTCTTGCATTAAGGTTGGGGGAAGGAAAGTCTGCGGTAACCGCCATTGGCTTTTAGTTGCCCAATTTTGGTCTAGCGAGTTATACTGCTTTTTTATAGGTGGTTAGCTCTCAGTCTCGGCCACGGGCGGATGGTTATTTGTGGTTCTTTTCAAGTTTTGTACCCTTACTGAATGCTATTTTTATGAATTAAGCCTTCTTCGAGCAAAAAAAAACTTATATATCCATAAAAAATCCATCAAAACTATTTCTCAAAATATAATCGAATAACCTCATTTTTAATTATTATCTAAATATCTGTGTCATTTTACAATGATATCCTTTAAACGTGACGGATGTAGTAACATGTTTTAGCATGTTATTAGTGATTTTGCACTTTTGTGTTTTATTTGTAGCACCTTTTAGTATAAACATCATAGTAAGTATGTTCCTTTAATATCATTAGATTAGATGTATAAATCAACTCTCAAACTCAATAACTAAATATGTTTGGATAGATAGAACAAAGCAATTTTTGGTGGCTCATTACACACATAATTACTCTATATAGCTGACTTATGAATCACGATAGTTGTATGAGCACTTTACCATAAACCAGGACCGGTCCTGAAAAAACACGAGCCTTGTGCAAAAAATAAAATGTGGTTTTTTAAGTAGGTAGAAATATAAGTGAAGATTATACTTGTAATACTTTGCTACAATAATAATTTACAATAAAATACAAGTTATTCACTAACATAATAGTTAAAATAAAAGTATTCCTTAACAAAATACACTTCATTTATTTGTTAAACTGAATTATAAATTAATAGACTAATAACCTAATACCTGAAGTTGGTGATTTGCCAAGTTCAATTATTACAAACCATCTAAATATAATTATCTACGTACTAAAGTATTCAAACTCAGAATTAAAACGAAAACTCATAATTATAACATCTTTCTTTTTCACATCTATGAGGGTGTTTGGATCTGATTCTTAAAACTGCTTCTGCTCCTTCAGAAGCAGAAGTTGGAGTGTTTGGGTGAAAGTGCAGAAGTACTTCTGGTGCTCTAATTTACTCCTATAATCAATATTTTTTAGAAGCTGGGGGACTGGGGGAGATCAGCTTCTGAAATCTGATTCTGCTTTAAAAAAGAAGCAGAAGCAGAATCAATTCCAAACACCCCTAAAATTTTAATTATCATTTATGCATCTCCAATGGTAGAATGTGCACGATGCACATGTGGCATGAGAGATGGCCACATAAATATTAGTAAATAACTTCTTTCTCTCCTTATTTGAATGATTTTATACAGTTTTGGTAAGTTTTTCTCCACAATGTCAAGGAGACCGTCTAGATGTTGACATTGTCGTTGACATTGCAGGAAAAAACATACCAAAATTGTATAAAATCATTCAAATAAGGAGAAAGAAAATTTATTTGTTAATATTTATGTGGCTATTTCTCATGTCACATGTGAACCGTGCACATTCTATCATTGGAGATGCTCTAATATCATCCTTTTCAGTTAGTTTGGTTACTTATAAATCTTTGGGTTGTATTAACTCTGGTTTTAATTTGTGTGAATAATGTATACGTTACCTTTTTAGCATGAGTTATTTGAGTGCTTGAATTTCTGTTTATATATTTTTATTACTTTTTCCCCAAACAAGTGTTAACACTAACCCTCTCTAATTATTAACTCCACAATTCCAACACTCCATCCAAACAAAGCATTATAAGGAGTTTAAGTGTTCTGAAACATTCTAAAAAGTTTACTGATTTTATTGCCTTTTACCCTAATATTTTATTAGAGTTTTCTTTAATATCTACTAAATATAATATTGAATGCTTATATGATTGTTGAACAATCTTTATCTTTACCTCATAAAAGACGTTTTTAGATGAGTTGGACAGTGGACACAGTCCTAATTATATGATTTATATCCTATAAAAGCAGTTACTTCTACAAGACTTTGCTTCACATTGATAACATTAATATTTTATTTTGCATTCAATTCCATCACAAGGTTATATAATAGGATAGGTAATATAATGTGATGTAAATTTCGAATTTCTCTATTTAAAATAAATGAAGCCATTATAATATTGCTATGTGAATGCTTCAAACTTCAAAGCTCTAATAGAATAGATAAGCAAATGTGCATTTACAATTGATGATGTTTTATTGGATTGACATTTTTTGGTCAGGTCCATCTGGTTTGATCTAATCTATTTAAGCTTGGTCTAGTTCGTTCTGGTGTGGGCTGAAATCAATCAAGTAAAAACATTCTAATTAGTACTCCTTTCACAATTAGCTTGCCCATGCATCAATTAGAGTGATACAACTGCAATGACTTGTACAAATACTCTATAAAACAAAGTGGGTAAAATTTACAAGTTAAACCCGACATTATAGGAAATATCTTTATGATTATATTTCACATTCCTAACTAAAATCCAAGTCTGCCAATCAACACTACTCAAAATTACAATGTCTCAAACAAACAAAGAAATCACAATTAGACAAGATCATAGACACACAGACATATAGATATATTAGACTCAATCATATATAGTGAACATTTGATATGTACCAGTTAATAACACTAATTTCACAAGAAACTCGATGGACTAGAAAACAAACCCGTAATAGCCACAGTAGGATGTATGTATGAACTACAAACTGGGTGCATATTTGAACTTTGAAGTATACAGAAAAAAATTTAAACAGAATGAGATATGAAAATGGAGGACAATTGATGCCTGCTACTCAAGAGTGTGGTAGTGATGGAAGGAAGAATCCCGATGGATGAAGACGATAGAGTAGAGAGCGTAAATGATGCCTGGAATGTAGCCCAGGAGAGTCAGCACCAAGCAAATGAAAAACTCCACCTGCCAAATTTAACATACCTGATTTCAATAACAACAATAATAATAACAGAAAATCGCAGATTTAACTCTTTAAGTCAGATAGCTTATACAAGATTTCACTGTCCATTATTCGTCCCTTTAAGTCTACTAGCTTACAAATCACATTCCTATGAATTTATTTTAAAATGTAATAGTTTCAGCAGAGAATTCATTATCCCTGTGCTATTTTTGTGTGTAATTGTATACTCCGGCAGGTAAGAAATAGAAAAAAGTTATTTACAAAACTAGCTTAGTAAGTAATCTGTAATTAAAGTTACTGACTAATAACGGACAAAACTATAAATCATTGGACTCAAAAGCAAATCTCCATTACTAATAATAACTAATCGAGTTTCCAGGATTCGTATGCATGATTCAATATGAATGAAAACGGCAGTCAATGTTTTATAGATCTTACGCTGCAGCAGCCGTGACGGAAGCAGACGCCTAGAGGAGGAAGAAAAATCGCGAGAAGGATTTCGCAGAGGATTTCACATCTGGTTGCCATGGTACGCTGTTGGCAGGATCTGTGTGTGAGGGTAGGGAGTTTGTGGTTCGCAGAATCGCAGGCTTGGAGAAACCGTGAAAGCTATTATTTGTGGACTTTAGAACAAGGCTAATTTGGTACTTAGCACATTAAAATAGTTGCATGTAAAATGTAGAGCTGTAATTAGTTACTTATAAAATAAAAATATATCGTTTGACTATATATGTAATCTATTTTTAAATTACACGGAAACTTTTATGATGTTTATTTGGAAAATAATAAAATACTCCCTATTAACAAACGGACCATATAGATATGCTCCATATTATATTATATAC